TTGTTTATTGACATAACCGGTCTAGAGACTATTTAGTGTTAGGCTACATTCATATGCCTATTATGTACATTGTAAAGCCAGAGCCATCTATGAACCAGAACTTTCATTTGGTCACATGACTTGAATTCTCGAACATTTACTTGTTAAAGAGAACATTCCAAATGCAAGTCAGGGAGGACTAGACTGTTGCTTAGCCTACTGACCGTCGTGTGTTGTGAGCCAAAATGGCGAACCGAGAGAACGCTGATCTTTGTGGCTAGAGTGAGGTGGGCGACTGGTGTGGTGATGGTGTTGATGGCTGCTTTTATAACCGGTCTAGAGACTAAGACAGTTACGGGCTCACCATAGCCCGTGCTACATGGACACTTCGTTCTGAGTAGCTAAATCTAAAACAACGACTAAGACAGGTACTGCTACTCGCACACGTTCTACTCCCTCATTACGCCGCATTCATTCGCTCCCTCATTATCCCCTTCCCTCCCTCATTATATTCTTCCCTCCATCCCCACCCTTAATATCACCTTTCTTGTCTCCTTCGTTCCTTCCCTTCCACCACAGTTTCTGCCCTTTCTCATTTCTCCCCATCCCCCTTATTCTTTCCCTCATTCTTCCCTCCCTCATTCTTCCCCACCCCTCATTCTTCCCTACCCCTCATTCTTCCCTACCCCTCATTCTTCCCTACCCCTCATTCTTCCCTACCCCTCATTCTTCCCTCCCTCATTCTTTCCTCCCCCTCATTCTTTCCTCCCCCTCATTTTTCCCTACTCATTCTTCCCTCCCCCTCATTCTTCCCTCCCTCATTCTTTCCTCCCCCTCATTCTTCCCTACCCCTCATTCTTCCCTCCCCCTCATTCTTCCCTCCCCCTCATTCTTCCCTACCCCTCATTCTTCCCTACCCCTCATTCTTCCCCACCCCTCATTCTTCCCCACCCCTCATTCTTCCCTCCCCCTCATTCTTCCCTCCCCCTCATTCTTCCCTACCCCTCATTCTTCCCTACCCCTCATTCTTCCCAACCTCTCATTCTTCCCCACCCCTCATTCTTCCCTCCCCCTCATTCTTCCCTCCCCCTCATTCTTCCCTACCCCTCATTCTTCCCTCCCTCATTCTTTCCTCCCCCTCATTCTTCCCTACCCCTCATTCTTCCCTCCCCCTCATTCTTCCCTACCCCTCATTCTTCCCCACCTCTCATTCTTCCCCACCCCTCATTCTTCCCTCCCCCTCATTCTTCCCTACCCCTCATTCTTCCCTACCCCTCATTCTTTCCTCCCCCTCATTCTTTCCTCCCCCTCATTCTTCCCTACCCCTCATTCTTCCCTCCCCCTCATTCTTCCCTACCCTTCATTCTTCCCTCCCTCATTCTTTCCTCCCCCTCATTCTTCCCTACCCCTCATTCTTCCCTCCCCCTCATTCTTCCCCACCTCTCATTCTTCCCCACCCCTCATTATTCCCCACCCCTCATTCTTCCCTACCCCTCATTCTTCCCTACCCCTCATTCTTCCCCTACCCCTCATTCTTCCCACCCCTCATTTTTCCCTCCCCCTCATTCTTCCCCACCCCCTCATTCTTCCCCACCCCCCTCATTCTTCCCTCCCCCTCATTCTTCCCCACCCCCTCATTCTTCCCCACCCCCTCATTCTTCCCTCCCTCATTCTTCCTCCCCCCCTCATTCTTTCCCCCCTTCCTCCCTACATCCCAGTGTGAAAGCAACGCCACGTGAGATCTGTTATTGATCAAAGGGCGACTCACCCCTGGGAAATGTTAATGCCTGGACACAACACAGAGGCGGAGATGCGTCACCGGCATACTTAACCCCGGGTATCTGAGCTGCCCGTGTGCTCCACCACCACCACCACCCTCAACAGGTGAGTGGGGTCTTAACACTCGAGAACAGTATGTGCCCCGCTGTACCGTCGCTACTCTGTAAGCAAACCCAGTCCAATCCACCCCGACCCATCCCAAAGCAAACCCATCCTAACACATCTCAACCCAATCCAACTCATCCCAACGCAAGCCATCCCAACCCAACCCAACCCAACCCATCCCAACCCAACCCATCCCAACCCATCCCAACCCAACCCTACCCAACCCAACCCAACCCATCCCAACCCAACCCATCCCAACCCATCCCAACCTAACCCAACCCATCCCATGCCAACGTATCATATCCTAAGCAAACCGATCCCAGCCTGTCCTACACTAGCCTAACTTGATGGAAATAAGATAAATTGTGTTATATATATATGGTGTGGACGAGGTGTGTGACGTCACAATGACGTAATTTGAATGGCGGGGCAGGTTTTGGATAATGCTGGAACACTTGGTACCTTGTACACCCAACCGCCTCTCCGTGCTTGTGCGCGCCGCCCGCAGAACACGTCGATTCTCTTGTGTGTGTTGGTTTTATTTGGAGCAGACTGCCAGAACCCCATCAAGCCGGTACCTGTTCAAAGCTACTTGCTGTGGTCACGGTTCCTGTGTTGTAACGTGTAGAAATTCTCCAGTTATTTGTCGTTTGGAAGTACATGTCGTATTGATTCCGGCTATCTCCAGGGAATACTGTTCTTGCCTCGATTTCTGGTCTTCAGGTCGCAACTCTCAAGAGTCCTTTAACTTGAAGGTTTACTCCTAGGTGAACTGAGGCATTATGTTTAAGGAAACGTGCCCAAACGTCTCGTTCTGCTCTGCAACTTACCCAGAACTAATTGTCTGAAGATCGACTAAACAAATCACTGTGCTGAGCTCGTCCTCATCAACAGAGGCCAAATGAGCGTTAATCCAGCCACCAAACACCCCCCTGTTTATGAATGATAAACGCTTTACACACAACCCATAACTGGTGACGTTCGAATATTTCTCGAACAGTGCTTCGTTGACGACCTCTGTTCGAATCACAACTCTCTCAAGGCTTTACCCACATACTACAATACAAATAATTACAACAACATTAACATCTAACCCAACCTACGCCCAAATATGCACAATATGCTAATATATAAGAATATTAATTTATATATGAGAAAATTAATATTTTGAATGAGCAGCATGTTAAAATGGATGAATGGGTCTTTGGGGGTCGGCCACTAGATGCAATAAAAGCCTGAGGAGGGGTTGTCCACGTACTTCATATATAAATAATTGCCAACAGAACCTAAATAACCAAACCTACGCCTAACTATACATAGACCTGTAATATATAATAATATTTGTATATACGAGGAAAAAACCTACTTTTAGTACACAATACGATAAAATTTATGAATGCATCTTGAAAGGTAGGTGAAGGGGGGCGACGCTAGCTTTAAGAGCTTAGCTTGAGGACATGTGCTGTATAGGGCTAATTTAAAGTGTCCTTTCCTGACCTAACAGACTTAAGCCTGAGGACCCAAAATAGAAAACGGGACAGTACGTCACTTTCGCGAGCCGCTTCCATTTTCTACTACGGCAGCTTTTAGCCTTAGTGCGCGTAAGAGCGAAAATAGACGTTATTTGTAAGAGGACGGGTTTACACCATTGGTCGGATTGTTGGGGGCAAACGTAACTATGTATCGTACCTTACCTTGAGGTTACCTTGAGGTGCTTCCGGGGCTTAGTGTCCTCGCGGCCCGGTCGTCGACCAGGCCTCCTGGTTGCTGGACTGATCAACCAGGCTGTTAGACGCGGCTGCTCGCAGCCTGACGTATGAGTCACAGCCTGGTTGATCAGGTATCCTTTGGAGGTGCTTATCCAGTTCTCTCTTGAACACTGTGAGGAGTAGGCCAGTTATGCCCCTTATGTGTAGTGGAAGCGTATTGAACAGTCTTGGGCCTCTGATGTTAATAGAGTTCTCTCTCAGAGTACCTGTTGTACCTCAGCTTTTCAACGGGGGTATTCTGCACATCCTGCCATGCCTCCTGGTCTCATGTGATGTTATTTCTGTGTGCAGGTTTGGGACCAGCCCCTCAATTATTTTCCACGTGTAAATTATTATGTATCTCTCCCGCCTGCACTCAAGGGAGTACAGATTTAGGCTCTTTAGTCGGTCCCAGTAATTTAGATGTTTTACTGAGTGGATTCTAGCAGTAAAGGATCTCTGCACGCTCTCCAGGTCAGCAATTTCTCCAGCTTTGAAAGGGGCTGTCATTGTGCAGCAGTACTCCACTCTAGAGAGCACAAGCGTTTTGAAAAGTATCATCGGTATAGCATCTCTAGTGTGGAAAGTTCTTGTTATCCAACCTGTCATTTTTCTTGCAGTTGTGACGGCTACTTTATTGTGTTATTTAAAGGTAAGGTCTTCCGACATGAGTACACCCAGATCCTTTACATTGCCTTTTCGTTCTATGTTATGATTTGCCTGAGTTTTGTACGTGGTTTCTGTTTTTATATTTTCAATTTTTCCGTAGCGCATGAGCTGGAACTTATCCTCGTTAAACACCATATTATTTTCTGTAGCCCATAGAAAGACCTGATCTACATCTGATTGGAGGTTTGCCGTGTCCTCTATGTTGCCAACTCTCATGAAAATCCTAGTGTCATCTGCAAAGGATGATACAGTGCTATAGGTTGTGTTCTGGTCTATGTCCAATATGAGGATGAGAAAAAGTACTGGAGCAAGCAGAGTACCCTGGGGGACTGAGCTCTTCACGGTTGATGGGCTGGATTTTATTTTGTTGACTATTACACATTGGGTTCTGTTAGTCAGGAAATTGTAGATCCATCTGCCTATTTTCCCGGTAATTCCTTTTGAACGCATTTTATGTGCAATAACACCATGGTCACATTTATCAAAGGCTTTTGCAAATTTTTACAAATCTGTTTATTATTAGTTTATTAGAATATTTTAGTTTACCTTGAAAAGCTTCATAGAAAACACCGACCTCACCTAACCTTCTTAGTATGTTAAGATAAGCATCTTATTGCTTCTTATTTACAATTATTACTTAACCTATCAACGGTATAGGTTAAGTAATAATTGTAATAAAGAAGCAATAAGATGCTTATCGTAACATACTAAGAAGGTTAGGTGAGGTCGGTGTTTTCTATGAAGCTTTTCAAGGTAAACTAAAATAATCACAATCAATTAGTATGTCACATATGCACTTATTAAATAAGCAAATATTGACTATAAGCAAGTGCGAGAACGGGTTGCTTGGTTTGATTGCTCGCATATTTTTACATCAGGTTTTCTTGAATCATTGGTATTGTAAAGAAGGGAAGGGTAAGGCTTAATTATATCGTAAAATTATCCAGGACTTTATTATGTTAGCTCCTAAAACCATATTGTCTCGACTGCTGGGCGTCGAGGGTCTGTGACCGCTGATGATGTGGTAACAAAATTACAACTGCATCATTTAACTCCGGAGAACGGTACAGTACTTGCTAAATGTTCTCGGCTAACACCCATTTTCAGCTGACTAACGGCACCCCGTTAGTCAGCCCACATAAATTGGGCGATAAAATTCGTGCACGAAATCCAATAACCATAACTATATAATTACAAACGCTTAATTATCACTGAGCAAATACGGGAAATGAGAGAGAGAGAGAGAGAGAAAGAGAGAGAGAGAGAGAGAGAGAGAGAGAGAGAGAGAGCGCGCCAAGTGACAGTATACAAGTCAAATGAGTTAACCGTTCAGTTTACCTATCAGTGCTTTTCATGAACTAGGTGAAAAATAATGTCATATGCTATGCAGCCTTTTTTTTAAATTCAGATACAATTTAGATTCATCTTGTCTACCAGCCTAGACGTTTGTGTTGAGAACATCTATAGTTTTGGGGGTAATGGTGTTCCCATTCTATATTCCAAATGGTTTCATTTTCCCGAGTGTGTGTGTGTTGGGCTCAGCCAGCACAATTGTTGCTAGTAACACGCATTTACAACCAATGACAGTAATTTTGTCTAGTCACTCAAAACATTGTTTTATATTTATACAGTATAATGTAGGCTTTGTCTAAGGTGTCAAAATACAACTCCTGTTGTTCTCTCCGACAAGATAACATGTACCTAATAAATGAAGTTTTTTGTGCTTAATAAGAGCTATTTATGCATCGTGTTATCGTCTATATCTGAGAGTATTGGTATATTGTATTGACAAATATTGTGATTGTGATTTTGAGGTTATATTCCCTATTTTAGGCTAGTTGGAGTCAGCTGATATGTTACATTTCGAGGTCGCAGGCTGTATCAGAACAGCAAAAGCGCAGTGTATTATTATTTATTGGAGATGAGCTTAATTATTTTCTCCTTTAACAAAAACAGATTTTGTTAAAAAAACAAAGTTACTAGGTTTCATTTTACAGTTTAAAATTTCTCTCGCTTCCACGTCCATCTCGCCGTCTCTCTCGTTTTTCACGAAACAGACAGGCATCCATTCAGTCAGTCACTCGGTCATCAAGCCAGTCATCCGGCAAGCCAAAACACCCCGTCGAATACTCAGCCGGCTCCCCTTCTAGAAACCCAGCCAGCCAGCCGGCTCCCCTTCTAGAAACCCAGCCAGCCAGCCGGCTCCCCTTCCAGAAACCCAGCCAGTCTGCCGGCTCCCCTTCTAGAAACCCAGCCAGCCAGCCTGCTCCCCTTCTAGAAACCCAGCCAGCCAGCCGGCTCCCATTCTAGAAACCCAGCCAGCCAGCCGGCTCCCCTTCTAGAAACCCAGGCAGCCAGCCGGGTCCCCTTCCAGAAACCCAGCCAGCCAGCCGGGTCCCCTTCCAGAAACCCAGCCAGCCAGCCGGCTCCCCTTCCAGAAACCCAGCCAGCCAGCTCCCCTCCCAGAAACACAGCCAGCCGCTCCCCTTCCAGAAACCCAGTCAGCCGGCTCCCCTTCCAGAAACCCAGCCAGCCAGCTCCCCTTCCAGAAACCCAGCCAGCCGGCTCCCCTTCCAGAAACCCAGCCAGCCAGCCGGCTCCCCTTCCAGAAACCCAGCCAGCCGGCTCCCCTTCCAGAAACTCAGCCAGCCGGCTCCCCTTCCAGAAACCCAGCCAGACAGCCGGCTCCCCTTCCAGAAACCCAGCCAGACAGCCGGCTCCCCTTCCAGAAACCCAGCCAGCCGGCTCCCCTTCCAGAAACCCAGCCAGCCGGCTCCCCTTCCAGAAACCCAGCCAGCCGGCTCCCCTTCCAGAAACCCAGCCAGCCAGCCGGCTCCCCTTCCAGAAACCCAGCCAGCCGGCTCCCCTTCCAGAAACCCAGCCAGCCTGCTCCCCTTCCAGAAACCCAGCCAGCCGGCTCCCCTTCCAGAAACCCAGCCAGCCGGCTCCCCTTCCAGAAACCCAGCCAGCCGGCTCCCCTTCCAGAAACCCAGCCAGCCGGCTCCCCTTCCAGAAACCCAGCCAGCCGGCTCCCCTTCCAGAAACCCAGCCAGCCGGCTCCCCTTCCAGAAACCCAGCCAGCCGGCTCCCCTTCCAGAAACCCAGCCAGCCGGCTCCCCTTCCAGAAACCCAGCCAGCCAGCCGGCTCCCCTTCCAGAAACCCAGCCAGCCGGCTCCCCTTCCAGAAACCCAGCCAGCCGGCTCCCCTTCCAGAAACCCAGCCAGCCGGCTCCCCTTCCAGAAACCCAGCCAGCCGGCTCCCCTTCCAGAAACCCAGCCAGCCGGCTCCCCTTCCAGAAACCCAGCCAGCCGGCTCCCCTTCCAGAAACCCAGCCAGCCAGCCGGCTCCCCTTCCAGAAACCCAGCCAGCCGGCTCCCCTTCCAGAAACCCAGCCAGCCGGCTCCCCTTCATGAAACCCAGCCAGCCGGCTCCCCTTCCAGAAACCCAGCCAGCCGGCTCCCCTTCCAGAAACCCAGCCAGCCGGCTCCCCTTCCAGAAACCCAGCCAGCCAGCCGGCTCCCCTTCCAGAAACCCAGCCAGCCGGCTCCCCTTCCAGAAACCCAGCCAGCCGGCTCCCCTTCCAGAAACCCAGCCAGCCGGCTCCCCTTCCAGAAACCCAGTCAGCCGGCTCCTCTTCCAGAAACCCAGCCAGCCAGCCGGCTCCCCTTCCAGAAACCCAGCCAGCCGGCTCCCCTTCCAGAAACCCAGCCAGCCGGCTCCTCTTCCAGAAACCCAGCCAGCCAGCCGGCTCCCCTTCCAGAAACCCAGCCAGCCGGCTCCTCTTCCAGAAACCCAGTCAGCCGGCTCCCCCTTCCAGAAACCCAGCCAGCCAGCCGGCTCCCCTTCCAGAAACCCAGCCAGCCAGCCGGCTCCCCTTCCAGAAACCCAGCCAGCCGGCTCCCCTCCCAGAAACCCAGCCAGCCGGCTCCCCTTCCAGAAACCCAGCCAGCCAGCCGGCTCCCCTTCCATAAACCCAGCCAGCCAGCCGGCTCCCCTTCCATAAACCCAGCCAGCCAGCCGGCTCCCCTTCCATAAACCCAGCCAGCCAGCCGGCTCCCCTCCCATAAACCCAGCCAGCCAGCCGGCTCCCCTCCCATAAACCCAGCCAGCCAGCCGGCTCCCCTCCCATAAACCCAGCCAGCCAGCCGGCTCCCCTTCCATAAACCCAGCCAGCCAGCCGGCTCCCCTTCCATAAACCCAGCCAGCCAGCCGGCTCCCCTCCCATAAACCGAGCCAGCCAGCCGGCTCCCCTCCCATAAACCGAGCCAGCCAGCCGGCTCCCCTCCCATAAACCCAGCCAGCCAGCCGGCTCCCCTCCCATAAACCCAGCCAGCCAGCCGGCTCCCCTCCCATAAACCCAGCCAGCCAGCCGGCTCCCCTCCCATAAACCCAGCCAGCCAGCCGGCTCCCCTCCCATAAAGCCAGCCAGCCGACGCAATACAGCCACTCGTGCTTGCGTGAAACAACGCCACAAAAGGAAGGAAAGGAAGGCTAGAAAAGACGTTAATGGTGGGTAATGGATTTCCGCTAAATGTTAATTGTTAGTCAGGGATTTTGTGGGGAGACGCAGGGATTTTCTGGGCTCCCCCAACCCAATCCCCTTCCTTAGGGTACTAGTGGGGAATTTTGGGTTGACTGGTACTTTGAACGGCCCTAGGGCCTTCCCTCGTCCAGTCCTCGCCCTTGGATAGAAATTTATGATTTAACCAGGTTGCTAAATGTATATTTTCTTTGTTATTTGTGTAGAATATAGGTTTTTCATATATGGGGTCACGGCAAATTATTTTTGTATATTTCGGCTTCGGCAGAAAAAGAATTCAAATTTGGGTTCAATGATCGCTTGTGCGTTCATTTGTTGTATGCACATTTGGTATTGTGTCCACCGAGCAACAGCCTGGTGGACCAAACTCTCACAAGTCAAGCCTGGCCTCGGGGCGGGCTTGGAGAGTAGAAGAACTCCCAGAACCCCATCAAGCAGGTGTGTATGGAAATGGAAGATTTTATGTTTTATTCTGCATTCCAAGTGTCAAACAGTTGTAAATCGATTACATTAATATGTAAATGTAATTCGCATAATTTAAGAAAGAGTTAGATAGCGATGAATAAGGTGTTGGTTAAGTCATTAACCGTGGCCAGAGTCGGGCAGACGGAATACTTTACCAGACATACTTGAGAGAGCAGCACTGCTAAGGCTACAACTGCATTTAAAGGTGCAGCTGTATAAGCTTAGTTTTCACTTAACTAGCACGTATTAAGTTGAAAGGTTTTGGCGATAGAAATATTTCTTATACAGGTAGAGGGATGAATTGTACTAGAGGTAATGTAAAGGTTATGTTTAGCAAGCGTTGCACCTGTCATTGCCAAAGTTTTAAAACCCTCAGGTTAACGGTGGACATCAAGTTGCAGCCCCGCTCCTGTGCCAAGTAAGTCCACTACGGGCTCACCATAGCCCGTTCTACTTTGGAACTTTTGTTCTAAGTAGCTGAATCTAAAACAACAACAACGGTGGACATGGAAGCTGGCTGGAGCTGTTGGCTCACTCAGCTATATGTACACTTGAGTATACCTTAATGTCACATTAATGCATTGTTTTAGTATCTGGAAATTTAGGAAGTGCTCTCAAGGGATTAATACATAGTGTCTCATGCTTAGTTAGGATTTTATCTTAGGTGTGTGAGTAGGAATTAAGTGGCGTAACTGGTATAATTAATAAGTTGAGGTGTT